GTTCAACCTCAACCACTTTGTATTTTCATTATTAACTGTTACATAAATATTATGTCGCAGCCATAATGCCATTTGAAACAACGATCCATCCAGGTAGTGGTGGACGAGCAACTCCCATGCTATCCAAGTTAAACATACAGTGTGTTTTCTTCAATGGGCTCTGGTAGCTATGAACTGAGCAATGCAGCATCTATTTCTGTTAAAAAATATGTATTTATTCTTCAACTGAGAGGTCTGTCTCTGTTGGGGATCCTTCCTGTAAAGATATAAGACAACTTGAAAACAAACCCCTCAGCTTTTAGTGGTCAAATTGAAGCAGATTACCTTGATGAAGCAGATTTTTATACAGGGATTAGATTACAACCATTACAGTCTGTTATGAGGTGTGTGGCTGAAGAAATCTAAAACTTGATGTGCTGATCATCAGTCAATGATACTAAAGGCAATAAATAGGGCCCAGGTTTAAAAATACTGGAGTTCTCCTTTAACATGTAATTGGATGAAAGGTTGCTGTTGAAGGCTTCTTATGAGTTCACTGAGTACACGGACTGATCTGGGACTTCTGCACACTGCCGCCTGACACGAGTACCAGCTGGATCAGCCTGCTCACTGATATCAGTGTCTCAAGAGTTGTAACATATTTTATTAGCACTAGTTGAATGTCAACACCTATTCAATCAATCAATCAGTCATTACTTGTATAGTGCCGATTCATGACAAGTGTTATCTCAAGACGCTTTACAAAAGAGAACATGGGATGATATGCAGGAAGGATTTCTTCTTTGTATTCCACACTTCCTTGCCGCTGAGGCGGAGGCCGTGCATGAATGAGGATGGTGATGGTTGTGGGGATGACACAGTCCGATGGTAGTGGCTGGGCGTCAGGTGATGGTTGTGGGGATGACACAGTCCGATGGTAGTGGCTGGGCGTCAGGTGATGGTTGTGGGGATGACACAGTCCGATGGTAGTGGCTGGGCGTCAGGTGATGGTTGTGGGGATGACACAGTCCGATGGTAGTGGCTGGGCGTCAGGTGATGGTTGTGGGGATGACACAGTCCGATGGTAGTGGCTGGGCGTCAGGTGATGGTTGTGGGGATGACACAGTCCGATGGTAGTGGCTGGGCGTCAGGTGATGGTTGTGGGGATGACACAGTCCGATGGTAGTGGCTGGGCGTCAGGGATTTCGGGTGGTATTAGTGCCAGTTCACCTCGCTGTAGGCTGGGGGAGCTCCGTCTACTCAAGAGCCTGGCTTCTGCTGCCGGGACAAGACCTACTGGTCTTATTAAATCATCATAACATGATCATGTCTGAAAACATTGAATATACATTTTTTTATTTATTACAAAGACCTATTAAACGTATATGCAGCTGGTCTTAAGCACCTGAAGCTTTGGAAGAACTTGATGGTGTCTGTAAAAGTGAATAGTCTAAATCTGTTTTACTGCCAGGTTAACAAGTAACAAAAACATTGGTTCTAAGTGTGAACAACACTTTTGGGCAAGCACATTCAGAGTAACACAAAATAACATCTAAAATGTTACTATAATAGCAGGGAATAGACCGTAACAAATTCATAAAGGATAAGTAAAAAGCCGGTCGTTTTGAAATGGAGGTTAAGTGTGAAGTCTGACTGGAGTGGCCGCTGGCTCGCGGCCTTGTGATGGAGATTACTGCAGATTTAGATCACGGCCTGCAGAGTGGATGGAGCCAGGTACAGTATGTAAAGAGCAGTCAGCTGACAGACAAACCTGCTGTTATGTGTTTGTGTGTGTTTTTAGCCTGTCGTCTCCATGGCAACTCAGGAGAAGATAATGAAGCCTTTTGAGTGTGCAGCACCTACATGTGGTCAGCATACGTCAGAGGCTTTTTCGATTGATGGATATTTTTGATTGTCTATTATTTGCATGTCATGTACTTTGAAAAAGGCCCAACCCTCGTAGGTTTGTAAGACACCAAAAGAACAGTTCCAGCAGTGGTTTCATGTTTCATTATATTTCATTTGATTAATTACTGGCATTTCAATTCAAATCCTGATCTCAACAAACAGCATTTTCTGCTAAGCTTTGAAATGAAAATCTACTACAAAAATGTTCCCAGAAGCCCAGCTCTTCAGTCATTCAGTCATTATTTAAGATTTTACTTTTGGGCTTTTTATGCCTTAGTTCCAGAGACAGGACAGTGGACGGAGTCAGAATTCGGGGAGAGAGGGAAGGGAACGACCCAAACCCGGGCCGTCTGCAAGGAGGACCACAGCCTCCACATTTGCGGCATGCACACTAACCACTACACAACCGGCGGCCCGTCATTCAGTCATTTTAATAATGTACATTTTTTCTGTTTCGATATGGAAAATGACACATGTAAAGACAATATGTTTCTAATTTTTGTTTTTACCAGACGTTGAAAGATCATTTTCCTCTTTGCATAAGAAACTTTTTTTGCTCCTCATCTCCTGAACATCACCAATGAGCTGCTATACTGGTAGAAACCATGTGTGACGTTTGTGCTATTCTGTCTGGTTTGTGAGTGCATTAAAACAATTATTGACACATAATTATAAAATAAATCAAATGCATTAAAATGTAACAGAATATAGTTAACAAAAACTCCTCCAATTAGCTCTGAATAGAGGAAACAAACCTGTAACAATTGTGCATTAATTTAGGGCTCACTAGTTTATTTTCTGTTCTGTGACACGTGGTTCAAAATGTTCAAAATGTTAGAATAATTCTTCCATGCCAGGAAAAAGACAAACAAGTATTCTGTGTCATGTTGTAAAAAGCCCCGTGTTGCATTAAGATGGTTTCAATGTTATATAAAAATAATTTGAATAAATGCAGCAAATAAATTATTCTTGTTACAACATGGAACTTATCATCATAGCGCGTCGTATTTATGCTGCACTTATACTGTAGCTATGTGTCAGGTTTGTTATTCATGCTGGTCTTGTATTTGAACACACTTAAAGAATTAATGATTGTAGGTTGATGCACATATTTTTTAGGTGATGATTGAATCAGCTAGAGTGAGACATCTTGCTCTGTTGAGAGGTGAACATACACCGTCCTGATCAGCAGGATGTTTGGATCATAGATATATTTATATGTCAGTATTATAATAATGGTAGTGATCACCAGAAGGCGTACATGCAAACAGCATGCCAGAGACGAACTTGTCCTGTTATAACACATTATATTTGTTGTTTTAACGTGACATCTTTGTATGACAGTAAAGCTTTTCCTTCATGACATGATACTGATCCTTGTTTTCCTTTTTTTCAATTCACTTCCATCAAATTCACTCTGAATGTTACTTAACGATGTGACTGCCTCAGTTACTGATCAGAGAACTTTCCATTTTCTTCCTTTAAAGGGTTGAGATGTCTCCTTTGAGAATAAAAACTCAGTGAGTGTCTGACAGCTGAAACCCCTCAAATCTCTGACGGCAGAGGTGCCATTCATGTTGGATTACATGGTGCAACAAAGTGCAAGGGCCCGGATCTATGTTTGCAGACCACTGAAGCGTTGCCAAACAGACATGTCTTGCAGTGGACGCTCTGAGACAATCAATCACAGGCCCCCGAGCTCCTGCGAGGCTGCCACCTGGCCCACTTAGAGGACACACAGAAAGTACAGTACATGACGCTGCAGACATGGCCTAAACAAACTGCAGCTGGCTCTCCAAGAATCCCAATTAAAAGCTCTGCTGAATAAGTTATGAGGTAGCTGGTTCACTAAACTGGCATAACTGCAGAGTTAGCGAAGAGCGGAGACACGTGATCAGTAATTACAGAGCAATAAGGAAGATAAACCAGTTACTGTTCACCGTGCTTGTAAACTGCTGCAGGCTTAAAGGGGACTGAGGACTCTGAGATGTTACAGAATCTGAGCTGTGGGATGTAAAGATGTCCGATACATTTAAACCTTGGCTGACGCTTACAAAGTTTGTCTTCTCTACCACACTATTCAGCGAGTAAACAGTCAACAGCAGGGGTTTGTTTTCTCTGTAAACACATGGCTGCTGAACAAAGAGCAGGTCTGCAGACTCAAAACAAGTGGCTGCTTTTCAGTGACCAGGAACCCTTTCAAAATAAAGTGCAAAATGACAATACAAATTTAAATTCACATTTATATTTATATTTGTCTCTTATTAACAGTATTCATAACATTTTAGGGATTTAACAAAACAACATACCAGAGTTGATCACAAACTGTTCTTCATAAACTGACCACAGTGGCTAAAGCATCTTTTAGTTTTGAAGAGAAGTCTTTCATGGGGAATCTCCTTTTTGGAGCCGGACTGATATCAAACAGTTAAACCAGTAATGTTATGAGATTTTGGACTATGACATTTCTAGTATCGGTTTTATGGTTTCCAGTATGAGCTGATATTAATCTTTTTTTTAAAGAACATATGAAGCGATAAAAAGTGCATGGAGTGATTAAGAATGATTGTCATCATTGGACTCTTTAGTTTACAATCCTCTCACGCTGTCTACGTCACAAACAGCAGAGCATGGCGGCTGAGCAGATTTTGGTTCTGCTCCAAAAATGATCCACAATTCATGAAAATGTTAGATAATCACTAGTAAACTCAGTGGTTTAGAACGCAGCCTTATGAGTACCTTTGCAAAGTCATATTGGTTCATAAAAGATGCACAAATAGAAACACATGTCAAAGGTCTGTCTTCATTCTGTTTTCACAACTGGCCCCAAACGACATGCATTTAGCTTTTTACTGACGTTATTAGCTCTTTAATGCTGCCTGTGAAATATATGGGCAGGAGAAGCCCGCATCATCATCTATTAACTACTAAGTAGAAGAAGAAAACAGTAGTGTATCCATTAGTACTGTTAATGTTGTTTGTTGCTTTTCATTGTCTTCTGTTTTATGAATTACACTTTCCAGGAGAGTCAAAAAAAGTAACAAAGTAGTTCAATGACCTGAACGAGAGAATAGCTGGATGCTCATTCTTATTCTGCTCTGTGTCTTCTGCAGCTAAAGATCTCCTTCAACGAGTCCAGCCTGAAGAGTACGTACGAATATCCGTCAGAGACCAGTTGGGACAGCGGAGAGGAGGACGAGGGAGAGAGACAAGACGGGAAGGTGGCGGATGAACAGCCAAGCATGGTGGGACGCATACACATCCCTCGACCCAGTTTCGCCAACTCGCCAACACACCTGAATAACAGCAACGGTAAGATCATGAGACGCTAGATACAGTGAGGATCTACCTGCACTCTTATGTCCAGCTCGTACCATCATGGGCCATATTAAAAATGCATTTTTTATTGCCAAGTACCTTTACACATCCAAGTCATTGGACTGTGTGTGTGTGTGTTGAGTGTTTTGATGGAAAAACATTAGACAAAGGACAAAGCTATAAAACAGCAGTGCTCCTGCTGACAAAAAGTGCAATGGAGGAGTTGTGCAGGTATGTGCATGAGTATAATATTCAATAGCAGAGTGCAGTGTAATGAGAATTGAACAGACCAGGGAGGCAGTGATGCTACCTGCTTTCATTTTATTATATTATTTTTAATCTGTCCACATGTGGTAGTAAATGTTCTGTGTGTGAAAGTTGGGTGATGTTCATTATAAATGATCTCGAGCCTAAAGTGATGTACTGCTTCCTCTCGTCACAGCATACTAGAATCATTGTGTTTGAAACACTTATTTTGTAAATAGAGAGAAAGCAGCAAATCCCTTTGAATCATTTATGAGATTATATTAAAGAAGATGAAACCAGAAATGTGTTAAGATAAAGTGATTGTCAAAACAGTTAGTCATTGATTTTCTTTAAATCCATTTATCAATCAGCTGACTCATTATTGCAGCTTTTCTCTTAATGTATATTTGTACCTGAGTCAGAGGCACAGAGGCCTTTCTGAGTAGATTTTGTGATCATTTTTTGTTCTAGTCCTGTATTCTTTATACATATTCATAGATCCACCAACTCTATTTCATGATTCAAAAAAAGTTATTGTCTGTCACATAGAGACTGAATATTACCTTTGGTTTGAGACTCAATTAACATAAAAAACATTCACACCCATTAGACTCACATAGAATCATAAAATCAAACCAGAAGTTCCATAAAAAGATAAATAAACATTAAAAAGTATTGTTTATCTGGCCTCGTTTAAAATGCGAACTGCAGTGGGATTCAAAGAGTTTAAGTTGAGTCTTTTAGCTTCAGAGTTCAGCCATCGTTCTCACTTTTTGTAGGACAATCAATACAAATACATAAAGCTGCTGTTTTCTCTTCTTAAAGAGAGATTTACACACTGGCTACTCGGAAGAATTCATCTTTAAAAATGTTTTTTTTTAATTCAGTGAATACAAACAACTACAAATGGGAATACAATAAGGTGTCATTAAATGAATGAGGAATCTCAAAAGTTGCAGAACAACATTAGGTATGATGACAGAGACCCCTACTGGGCAAATTGTGAACTAAAGTTAACAAAATGTGAGGAGAACTGTCTAGTTTTGACCTCAGCATAAACAGCTACTTTTTTTAAATAGCTCTGAGAAATCATTACCTGACATGTACCTTATTAATCTTCTTTCGCACAAATGGTGGTACTTAAATACTAACACTTGAATACACAAAATATCAAAATGCTAAAAAAAAAAAAAAAACAGGTTCAACAATAACAACAATACACAGAGAAAGAAATGTATTGTACATTTTAGTGATGTCTCTTTATTGTCTGCAGACCTTGCCAGCTACGTCCCCAAGCACTCGGTGGACTTTAACACGTGGCAGGAGCAGAAACATGAAGAGAGTGTTTACCAGGAAGAAAACACCGCTCAACAGACGGAGATAACAGAGGAGGTTATGGTGAGATACAACTCCTCCATTCATCAGACTTTAACCTGTTTACTGTTTCTACTGTGCAGAGCTAAGTACTATCATTTGACTTGATCCCAGTTTTTCATTTACTTGGGTTCTGAAAAAGGCCAGAGATCTACAGTAAGACAGGAACAGATGGTCCAAAGAATGTTTTACAGAAGTGTTTTCTTAATACAATCATCTCAGTAACTTTCCATATTTGATGGTTTGGTGACTTTATTTATGTTTTCAAATAACCTTTTTCTTTTAAGAACTGTTGACTGTCTATTCTAATTAATGTATTGATTGCTTTTAAGATTGTCAGCCTATCGTTGTGCAAAATGCATGAACATGAGTTTGGTCTACTTTTTTTCTCTATATATTGGGATGATGAAGTATTTTTGAGGCATGGAGTAATTATGCCCACTTTTTCCTAGAGAAAAAGGCAAGTCTTGACTATAAGTTAGAAAAACTGAAGAAGGAAATCAAAAGTTCCTCGAGAAGCGGATAGCCTCAAACGTCGTGTTTTGTCCAAGCAACATTCAAACGCCCATATATATAAGGGCAATTCACAGTCCCTCACAACAGAGAAAACTGGAACATTTCAAATCTGAGATAAGCAATTAAAAAAACTAAAAGTAAAATAAGTAACCCCTCCCCCAGATGGGTGACACTCCCACAGCTAGGTGTCTGTTCTGTCCTCTGAATACACCTTTCCACCTTAAAGTATATAGGCATAGAGCGAGGAAGACCAATCAACCTCCTTTTCAGAGAGGGGGCGTGGTCAGACACAGTTCATTTACATATTTAAAGGTACAGACACAGAAACAGCCTGTTCTGAGCAGGGCTGAAATAAGAGGGGTTTATAGACATGATCAAATACAGGATCAGAGTGGATTTAGAACAAGACACTTCACCCACATGTTTTGGGGAGCACTGAGACTTATTTAAACTGGTTGTAAAGGAGTAAAATATGTGACCTTTAAATGTAAATGTGGTTCCAATTGAAGAAGACATCCTTTACAAATATTTGTACATTTAAATAGTAGAATGCTTTAATCTCAAGTATAAATGTGTGGGAGTGTAATACTAAAAAAAGATATCTATTATTACAAAAACATGGTATGATGAAAAATAACACAACTGCTGTAATGACATGAGCTTTCAGTGTGCTGATTATAGCTAAACATTTAAATTATGTCTTTTCTCCTCAGCTCACACCGGCAGACAGCTCCTCCCTGTCCGACTACAGCAGCGAGCCTGCGCTTTACTTCTGATTTACTTCTTATCAGTCGAACCAATCAGCTGTACAGTAGCATCTCACCTGTGGGACCAGACTGCAGACAGAGCCCGGCGAGGTCTATGACACCTTGGGCCTGAACTGCCTTCAGCTCTACACTCCAGCCGTCACTAAGCACACCATCCTGATCAGACAGGACATACAAAGTGGTTTTTTTCTTCTTTTTTTTTCTGGCTGATTCCCTGCCACGGTACCACTGCACGCCACATTATCAACTGCATATCAGTACAGAGCAGCTTTTTGTCAGGTGGCCTGTGTTTGAATCCCACTTTGTTCCTGATCTGTTTCCAAAAACAGCTGGACTGTCTTTCCCCTGAAATCCTGGACAGTTGATCTGTCAGCCCCCCCTTCTCTTCCTCATCCTCACGCACCAAAATATCTGGCAGAAAAATTGAAGCGATTTATCAAAATCCATGGGAGACGACTGTTTTCCTCTCCACACTCTGGAAGAAGTGCGTCCACGTCTTCAAAATGTAAGTCACTCGTTGTAGGATGCTGACGTGTAAAGGAGGAGCAGAGGAACAGAAAGCCGACAGTGCCCACGTATGCTTAATGCCACGGTGACAGAGCTCAGTGTTATCATGGAGACGTCTCCAAAGACAGAGGATGTTGAGGAGGTATCCGCCTGTGTAGATCGCTGGCAGACTGAGACACAAAAACAAAAAGAAATGGTTAAAGGGTGCCACAATTGTAGTTTTTGTCTTTTGTTGTTTTTGTATCTGCATGTTTGTTTCTCTTACTGTAAAGCTTCTGTATGCCTTTTTAGTTTTTTGTATGTTTTCTGGCAAATGATGCTGTATTGAAGCTGCTGGACGTTTTTGTAGGAGAGTCTTGTTGGCAAGCAAACTTCAACAATCCCCCCTTTCCCCCCTTATCTGTGACAGGGGGGGCCGTAAATATGCAGCCCAGGGAAGATGACCTATCAATCAGCTGGAGCTCTGATTTTTGATTGAAAAGCTTGAAAAAAGTGACCTTGGCCAGAAATGTCTGTATGTCCGTATTGCTGTTGAAAAACAAAAACATCATACTGTAGAATGTTTCTGTATAATCTCTATCAAGATATCTGTGTCACGTCATGTTTATCACATCAGCTGTATGTAAGAAGTGGACGTAACAAGCATGGCATTACCCATTGGTTTATAAACTACAACTTTGAAGTCTTGAGTTTGACACTTGGGTTGTCCATGTAGTTTTTTCTTTAGGTCAGAAGTGACCACATTTGATCAAGAGACTGGAGCTTATACAGCATCTGCTCAAGGTGGACACTCGAGGAACTGCAGGGGTTTTTTTGCACTTCAGTATCGGCTCACTGGCTGTTGCTGCTTGGCATTCACCTGTCGCTCCACATCACCACGTCCCTCATTTTCTATAATTATATACCTAAACATAATTAACAGGGTCAGTTTTATAAAGATTGTCATGGATGGAGAAATAAGCTTCAGTGGAAAAAACAATTTTTATACCATGCTGTAAACATGTTTTTATCTGTTGTAAAGTCGGGCATTTTGACATTGGGCTGTTTGCAGATAGGCTCAACCTTTAAACCAGCCTTGTGTGGCCATTCAAGGAACTGCATGAGTTTCCTTTTTCAGCCCCGTAGTTCGCTGCTTGATTGCTACGCCTCTATCCCTGCCACTAGATTGACATAGTAGCAACTTGTCAGTCTCAGGTGATAAATCAAAGGAGAAATAGAATTTGACTTCTATTTGAAACAAGTGGAGCTGCCCCCTGCTGGCCATTAGAGAACATTCAAGGCTTAGGTCCTCCCCATTAGCACCCTCTTCTGAACCGAAAAGGCTACATCCACTTCTTCTATACAGTTTATGGATTTATCAAAAGCTGTTAAACCTTTTATTTTCTGGCTTCTCGTGTATTTATTCCTGCTTACAGTTGAAGTTTGCATGTCTGAGACCTGCTCTTGTACATAAGACATTTTTGTAAAAACAGATGTGCTGGTGTGGAAAGGAACCAGACTGGTGCAAACAACCCTGACAGACTGTTTTTTTTTTCCAAGTTGTTTATTTTCCAGTCGGACCTCTTGTACTCTCACATTCCACAGAGAAAGAAGACCGTCCATTGAAGTATGAAGACAAACACAAAGTATGATCACTCATGATTTAGCGTGTTTTGTGAGAACGCAAGCAAAACTAGTGTGTGAAAGAAAATGTAATTTTTTTTTATTATTATTATTAAGATTATTTTATATACAAGAATGCATCAAGTTTCAAGATGATTTTTTTAACACTCATAATGCCAACGGATTAAAGTGTTGCTGTAACAGCCTCACATTCATATTTACACGCCCAGGATCGACCCCTTCGACCAGTATTGTTGTACAGTTTCCACCATTTTTCACACGATGTATGTTATTTCGTTCATTTTCTCCAATCAGATGAAACACTCGGTTGCTGTTAAGACTGTTCTGTCTTTGTCGGATGAATCTGTTTAGTTTTTGTCTGGAGTCTTTGATGTTAAACGTGTTTGCACTGTCATGCTTTTAGCTGTGTTTTGCACCTCATGACAAGGAACAGAGGAGACTGATGAAGTGTGCACTTAAAAGAAAGAAGTCTGGTTGAAGAGTTTTGATTCGAGACGGTAACCACTATTGACCCCTGCTTTTTTGTATAAAACCACTGATTGTATGTCAGATACAGGAGATGAGTAAGACTTTGAAGAAATGCCAGAAAAAACATTTTTTTTAATAATAAATGAATGAGTCACGTTCTCGAAAAGAACTCTTCAAACTTACATGATGAATGCACTGCCAATGAATGCCATGTCCAATTTTTTTACTGTTTTCCGCAGCCTTGCATCAAAAGTCTTAAGATTGTCGGCCTTTGACCACAAACTGTCGCTTAAATGTAGTTCTCCACACAGGTTTGTCTTTTTACCGAGGGAAGCCAAATCTGTTCTGGTGTTGTTTTTGGCCAGTTGACTTGATGTACAATATGTTCAAAAGGACCATACCAGTGATTCTCTATGTGTAAGCTCAAAAAGTACTAACAACTGAATTACTGCCAACCATTCTGCAAACCGTACCACTGTGGTGTACAAGTTTGAATGTGCTTTTCTAACCATTCCTGATCTCTGTTCAGCTCCATGTTATTTGTTATGGCATGAAAATCAAGCAGCAAACTTTGAATGAGACATCCCAGGAACACGAGGAAACGTTGAATTATAATGCTGTTCAGTTCAAAACATTTTTTTTCTTTAACAATTTGTTGAATTTCTCAAGTTATGTTTGATTACAGTTAATTGTTTTTACTTTTATTGGATAGGACAGCTGAAGAGAGAGGAAATGTTGAGAGGAAAGAGTAGGGGATGACATACAGCAAAAGACGGATACGAACCCACATCCGCTGCAATTAGGACTGTAGCCTGTGTACATGTGATGAGCTACATAACCACTAAGCTATCTGCGCTCCCCTCAAGCTATATGTTAACCACAAGCAGCAAAACAAGTAATGTAATGTTTACAAACTGGCATAACCTGGGTTTTATTTGCAAAGTTATCAAACTGAAAATACCACTCTGCAAGTCTTTGTATTCTGAACTTGGGGTCAAGTACTGAAAAAAGGGGTTCGCTGATAGGGGGATTTTGTAAGTGATACTGATTTTAGAGGAGAAGGATTCACCCATCACCAATACAGAGAGAAAATGTGTTGTAGTTGGATAAAATGTTATCTTTCTGAATGGACTGTGCCGCAATTTTGAAACAAATAAGAGAATGTACCGCAATTCTACTTTTTTAAGACGCCTAAAACTTTCATCTGAAATATTGAAAAATGTATACAGATACATATGTCAGAGCCCCATATCAGCCTGATACTGCCATTATCAATGGACCAGGTAGGCCCAACTGAAGTATGAACTGTAATCCACTTTTCCAATTGATCTGCACATAACTTAACATCCTATTGTAGGGTCAATTCAAAGCATTGTCACACCATTAGGAGATACAAATGGCTGCTTCCACATGGCTTTTAGCTAAGGCGCTCAAACTCTCCATACACACTGGTATGGTTCTTTAGGTTTAATCTGGACCTGCTGTGGAGCCGTGGTGGCTTTCAGCTTATTACAGTGGATCCATTTGCGGTAACAGATGCCTTCAATGACCAAAACACCAAAGAGGTCTTCTCTTTGTGGGGATCTGTAACTCTCTGTAAAACTGAATGACACCGTTTGCAACTCTTCTGATGGCCATTACCGGGACATAGGGACGTAGAAACAAACCACTTGACTTCTGAAGTGTACACATGGCCTCTTAATGCAGTGTGTTATTCCAATCTGTCGACTCCTGTTGCAAAGTGAGCAGTTTGTATTGGTCACGCTGTAGCAACTCTGTGCACAAAAGCTCCATCTTCTTCCCCCTTTACTTTCCCCTCGTCTGTAAATGTATACATCTCAGCAAATGTGCTTACTGTAAAGTTATTGTCAAAGATTCGGGTAAAGAAAAAAAAAAAAGTGATGTCATACTTGTACAAATGAAAGCTCAATAAATAGAAGACTTGAACAAATGTAAATACTGTGTATGTGTTGTTTCAATCCTGGAAGACATCTTTTAGCTTCTCTTTTAATGTGAACAAGTGAAATAAGAGTTTAAAAGCATGAGATAAGTGGCTTAGGTTGTGGTGGAAACAGAGTCATTGTAATGATAAGAAACACATTTATTACAGTAAGGAACTTAAAATAAATCAATCAAGTATATTACAAATGGTCCAGTGAGGAGATTAGACTTTGTTAATGGCAGATAAAGAGCGTTGTCGCGGTTACAATGAGAGTTCAGAGACCTTTCATCGACATCAATGCTATTTCCTCCGAGTCTCTGTGGCTTTACTGAGGTTTCCTGCCTCCCGCTTCAGGACACACAGAAGAGACTGAGAACTCTCCAGGATCTATCGATGGAAACAAAAACATATATCACATTTAAGAAAAACGTCATTTAAAGTAGAATCAAGACCTGCATGACGTGCAGTGACGTCTGTACTATCAAAGTCATTTAGAAGGAGCTCAGGCACTGCTGACTGTCTTGTTGTTTTTTAATAAGAGCAGCTCTGGAGAGTTTGTTTGCAGTGATTAGTGTGAGGGCTCGGGGAGTTCAGCATCAGTGAGTGGGGGTGCGGCTGTGGCAGATGAAACTGCTGCACAAGGACAACATGGAGAGGGGCCTCTCCAACTATACAGTACAAACCACAGAGGAATACTTGAGTACTAAAAGGCGACAGAAGCAGTCCCTTATCCTGTTAACAAAAACAAAGTGAAATATGACAAAAGCTGGGTGAGCATTGCAGAGTCATATGAGTACCATGACCCACTCAGTTGTCCCTCCATGATCACTGTACAAGTGGTTCCACAATATATCAGTAGCCACAGGTTAGCTTCCACACTCATATGATACACTTTTTCACACCACAGTTCTGAGAGTGAAGAGCCTACATGCCTATTTTCCTACACCCGTCTACTTAAACCAGCATGTAGCTGTGAGGCTGTTTTGTCGAATGTTTTATCGAATGTTTTATTTTGAGCTGCACAACAGGCACTGGTACTGCTGTACACAAATTTGACTGTGTCAGGCTTGTTAAGTGTGAGATGTTTTTTTCATGCTACTTATAATCTTTTATTGAATTAAAAAAATTAAGGGATTTAAATAGAATAGAATATTCTTTGACAAAATCCTGCACAACCCACATGTCAATTATCTTGATTATGGATTAATCAGCTAATTTTCTTCCTGATAGCATCAGAAAATAATCAATCAGAGGCCAAGATAATGTTCTCAAATATGTTTTATATTATTTGTCTTTCAACAATCAAAAAACAAAAAATATTCAATTACAAAAATGAAAAATGAAAGCATGAAATGATATGATGCTCCAAAGATGTGATTAGGTAGCATGTACTTTTTTTTAACCCTACTTCTCTGAGCACATAAAGGTGTGTCTAATAGTGAAATTCATGAGGTCTTAATAGTTCACACTGAAAATATATTTTTTGTTTTAAAGAGGTTTTTGAGCCTTTTATAAAGATTGTAACATCCTTGTTTGCTACTTGCCTCAACATATACTCTAGGATTTTATTATGTTTTAAACAAGAGATGCAACATTACTTAAAGCTGGCAAAAACTGAATTAATCACCAAACACTTAACTGAATTATTAGTTGGAGTATTTTCCAGAAAAAAAGTCAAAATTCTTGATCCAGCTTCTTGAGCGTGAATCTTTTCTTGTGTCTTCCCTCCTCTACAGCAGTGAGCTTGATCTCTTTTGGTTTTGGACAAATAAAAAGTGTAGGAATATAATTAGCAGAGAGAACATTATTGGTTTTTTACCCTGTTCTGACATTTAGAAAGTAATCAACAGAATGATTTCACATTAGTTTCCTGCAGCCCTTCCAGGATTATTAAAACTCCTGTTTCATATTTTCTGAAATGATATCTTCAGAAATACTTTTATCACCTTTTTCTGGATTGTCTGGGATTCAACTGATTTTATGGACATGTTTATGACACCATATTTAAGTCACATTTCTTTGGCACTAGAAGGTTAAATGAACCTGAAACTAATTCCTCTGTGAGAATCAAAAGAAAAACATCCTGATGCATTAGGTGGACTTCAATCACCACTGAATGTCCCATAATTTACACATCTAAACAGTTGATAAATAACATTTTAGAAAAGCTACCCACCTTGGTGTATGCAGCCTCGGTCTCTGCTATGGTGCGGTCAAAAGTAGCGCGTGCGGCGAGTCTCTGTGACAGGCTCTCCTCGACTCGGCTCAGCTTCTCTGAGAGGACTCGGATGTCGTGCTGCAGCCGCTCCTTCTCCTCTTCCTCCTGCTTGATCTGACTGTTCAACTCGTCCCGCTTGGAGGACAAGTCCTCAATACCTGCAGGAGACAAAATCATTGTTAACACCTGACATTAGGTAAAATATTAAAACTAATGAATGGTAATGAATGTGTCTGTAACAGAAAGATGACCAAATAAATTAATAAACATGCTCTTGTTTTAGCTTCAAGTATGAGGATTTGTTTATTGCCTTTTTCTGTTTTGATATTTCTGTTTTTTTCTCCTCAATATCTTTATTACATGTTTCTGATATACAGGTAGAAAAAATGAATCAAACTGTTTCAAAAGGAAAATCTGTGTGACTGGTACCAGAAACAAAGGGAGAGATCAAATCTCAAGCAGACATCATCAGAGTTTAGTACTTCTCAATGTGCAGTATGGCATCAGAAGCACTCAGATAAATACACAGACCAGCAATACAAACAATACACAGAAAACTGACCTGTAACAGGATGTTTCTGTTTTTAAGTTGTCAGTGAAAAAGCCATGTGAATTCTGATTGATTTGGTTAATAGTTGCATTTATCCTCTAGTAATCTTATTTCATGTGCACTAAGGAAGCTAAACTCATATTGCTAACAATATGTGTGTTTATTTTAAAGTTTTATTCTAACCACACAAGAAGGACAACTCAAGTGTTACAGGGATAAGAAACCTGCTCTTGATATTACAAAACCATGACACAGTAGTGGTCTGCAGGGAACTGAAGGCTGATTTGCAGTTGATAGATTGAGCATAATCTGTACAGGTTAATCAGATTGAACTGTGGCAGCATGAGGTGGAAAAACTAGAGCAGTACAAACACTATCAACCTCTTTTTACAAAAACACCAGAAAGTGAGTTTATGTGGAGCAAAGGTAACCATACATACAAAATACAATAACAAATGTAAAATGCAAAATGTAAACATATTCTCTATTTAAGTGAATCTCAAATCTACCTGCGGTTTACCGACAGTATCAAACTATTTTAATGATTGTACATCCTGGTAAAAAACTTACACTTAACAAGTTCATTGTTGTAGGTCTGAAGAGCAGCAGCTTGTTGGGTCATTGTAGCTAACGCCACCGCTCGACTTACTAACCTTACAGGTTGAGTTCAAAATAAATTCACTTCCGGAGCTTAGTCGGTAAAAAGCTCCCGGTGGTCGAATAGATACTTGTTTGTCTCAAAAAGCTACGCGCACCTTGACTTGGACGTGAAACCAAACGCCATAAAAACAGTTTTAATCGGATAATTCATACATGGCGGGTTTCCCAGACAACAGAGTAAAATGTACTAACGAGTTCTACCGGCGGTGCTGACCTATCGGCTGTCCGGGATGATTCTTCTTCTTCTTCTTCTTCTGCAGAAACAAAATGTCTCATGTGTAACTAGCAGCGCTTGCGCCCCCTTGTGGCCGTTGCTGTAGAATAAACAGCTATACATAAAAATGTCCTGCTGGTGTAAATAAAAAGGATAAAGAGCGTTATTTAGTTGTGCGAACAGGGATTTTTCGGTTAAACAACAAATGTATTATGTGTTGTACAACTGTTGGTTTTTATTTCTTAGTGACAATATGTAACTTAGTGGCAATTTTCTCATGAATGTTGACCATGATGGTCTCGATATCATTGATGATGATGATGATGATAATGATGATGAAAGACGATGGTTTTTGTTTGATAACGATGACTTATAAGATGGTTTCTATACTGATTAGAGCTCTCAAGAAAATGTTGTGCTTTGCCTCTGGTCACTTCCTGTCAGCACCTGTGTGTCCAATCAGACTCAAAGCTGATCGTTTCCTCTTACTGACATTGTTCTCTTCTTACTTGTGTTGTTCTTACTCTCTGATGTACGTCGCTTTGGATAAAAGCGTCTGCTAAGTGAATTGTAGAATTGTAGAATGAATGTTAGTTCTAAGTATTGATGTGAGGAGGACTAAGCAAAGGAGGACACCTGCTGGTGCAACAACCGCATAACAGTCAGATCTAAACAAAGCAGTTAATATTGCAAAGGGTTGCTTTTACAAATAAGATTAACTTCTGTACTTCAGGCCTATCTTTATAAAATATTTGTATTAGATTTGAATGAGCTGGACTTGAATTACTCAGGAATCTGATTCCATTAAACTTGCTTTGTGCCAGGATAGCTGATGACTGCAAATCAGGCTTCACCATCATTACAGTATATAGCCTAAAGCTATAATAATGAGCTCAGACATTACTTTAAATTGAAGTTAGTGTCATTATTACCAAAACTGATTGTTAACTTTTTGCAAGCTGCATTTACTTGAATTTATTAGATCAATAAAGTCATTTCTGGGTTTATAGCCCAAGATCATCCTAATTATTTTTATGTGAAATAGCTTGATCTCTGACAATAGAAATCCAAAAGATGATTATGAAATATGAAAAAGGAATTGGTTCAGAAGGCCAAAACGCATCCACATTAAATGAGTTACAGTGGATGACTTTATTTGAGAGAACTCATAAGTAAGGGAAACTGCGTTAACAGTGAGCTAGAATAAACAATATCAAAATCTTAAAGATAAGCCAAATAGATACATTTAAACTAGTTTTAATTCGATTAGTTGCATGTTTTTTCCTGTTACATGAAAAAAGTATTCAATGAAACTTTGATGCACACATTAAAACCAAATGGACATTATACCAGTATCTAGATGGTTAACACAT